AGACTTTGGGAGTGGGAAGCAAAGGATTTTGGGGGTACCCCCCAACTCAGAAGGCAGCCCCCTTCTCTGACCCTCTCCAGCACTGTCCATCTTCCCTGACACGGGGCAGGGACATTCAGAACAACAGGAAGAGTTCGGGGTGGTTATGGGAAGAACGTCCAGTCCTGAAAATCTGTGGGGGCAGAAAGGCAGACCCAAGCACCAGGCCTGCTGGGGGAGGGGAGGCTGGGAGGAGGGGCTGGGGGGTCCTGCTCACAGGGAAGTTGCACCGTGCCGTTGAGGCACCGGCTGCAGTCCACACACTGGAACAGACTGTCACTCAGGTAACTCCGGTACTGGTTCTTCCTGCAGCCGCACACGGTGTCCCGGTCCACTGTGCAAGGGGAAATTTCCACCTGGAACATTTCTGGTGGGGGAAGGAGTGGGGGGAGGCGTGAGGCCGACTGCCCCACATAGAGTCCCATACTCCCCTTGGATTGTTCCCCTGCACCCCCTGGTGGACACCCCCCCGCCGCAGTGCGTGTGCCTCTATAACACGGGTTCACATCCATGCACGCTCACGCGTACACCTGCTCACAGACTCCGCCTGCACAGAGACGGGCGCACACCCCACCTCCCCCGACACCAGCCTCCCCTCTGCCGAGTCTCACCTTTCCGGCACTTGGAGCAGCTGAGGCATTGTGAGAGGTAGTTCTTAGACGCACTGTATGTGCCGTTTTCACACTCTTTGCAGTCTGTGTCCAGCCCCGGGCCTAGACAGTGGTTGCGCAGGTAGGTCCCTGTGATGGAGTGTCAGGGTTAAGCCGCAGAGCTCAGGAAAGGAGCCCCATGCCAGGCAGAGCAGCGACAGCCTCCTCCCTGATTTCAATCTCCAAGAGGTGAAAGAAGGAGAAAAGCCCAGGGCAGGGAAGGAAACAACGTGAGCAGGCTTGGGGCCAGGGGCCCTAGGTGCTAGAATTTCTGAAAAAGCAAAGGAAGAAATAGGGTCCGACAGCAAGGGGGGCTGTTAATACTTTCTCCCACCTTTGTGGCAGTAGGTACAGCAAATGGAATTGTTCTCAGGGTGGGCATATTTCCCCTGGGGACACAGGCTATCTCTCTTCTCCAGGTCCCTGAGGTGAGTGACCAGTCCAGTAACACCAGAGGGATACACAGTCGCTGACACAGCCAGGAGCACCTGGGGACAAAGGAGACCCCATCAGGAAGGGTAGGCAGGTAAGTCTCACCTCCCCAGAGGAAGGGTAGGCAGGTCGAGGGACACAAGTCTCACCTTCCCATCTCACCTCCCCAGAGGAAGGGTAGGCAGGTCGAGGGA